GTGGGAGAAAGAGGATCAGAAGAAAGGAGAGGTTGAGAGAAAAACTGAGTTCTGGTTGTGTCGCTGATTGGGCAATCATGGCTTTGGTATTTGAGGCGCCCCACTTTCCCTGTTGTAAATCAGAGTTGGATGAAATCTGAAGTTTCTCAGGTTGTTTGGTGGAATCGGAATCCGCTGGGATGGGGAGCTATAAGTTGTGCGATTCTGAGCCCCCCCCAGCCTTTTGGACTTTGACTCGGTGCTGGGGTCCCTTGAATCTTTCATGTTTAATGCGTCTTTTTATGTTTCGTCTCTTCTTTTTTTGTTTTTTGTTTGTTTTGTAACGCGTGCTCGGTGCTCAGGCGTGGGGTGCGTATGGCTGATCACAGCTCCAGCTGCAGTCTCGACGCGGCCCAAGTGATTTCCTCCCACTCGAAGCCTCCGGAGTAGTGGGACTACAGGCATGTTGCTGTTAGTGGACGCTCGCTAATTTTATGTATTTTTTGTATGTTATGTTGCCGAGGTGTCTGTGGAACGTCTGCGTCAAGTGCATCAGTTGCCTCGGGCTCCCAAGTACTGGGGATTGAGCATGATCCCCTCTCCCAACTGCTTTGATATTTATTTCCATTCTGAGACCCCATGTTTGTTTGCTTGTTTGAGTGAATGAGTGTGCTCTGAGCCTTTCCTCAACACACTCACACACCCCTGCAGTCCCGTACTCTTGTCCCCTTCCTTACTATTTCCTCTGTGTGGCCTCTGCCAAGCACAACCCTGAACACTTACGTGGGAAGGAACCCAGGAGGGGGTCTTTACCCAGTACTCCATCTTTGCAGTGCTGGGAGCAGCCTGCTGCCCCCACAGGGTGTGCATCTGCGATTTCTTTCACTCTGCATTAGTCTGTGAGACAGGCATTCTGGCACGCTGTTCCAGGAATCCCCATGAAAGGCCTGAAGGGGTAGGGGGAAGCAGGTATTCATTGCAAAACATGAGGTTGAGCTGCTCTTGCCACCTGGAGGGTGATCTGGGCTCAGCCCACTGCACTGCAACTGGACACCAGGCAGCAACTGGCAGGGAGGTCCTCGAAGAGCTGGTGACACTGATGCTGTGTCGTGCATCAGAGGACATGACCCTGCCCTGCCCAGAGATTATAAATGGCTCTCCCGGGTATTGTTGGGTTTCTTTCCTTTCTACAATGAATTAAGTCTCTGGACCACAGAACTATGGAGTATTTGAGTCATGGGAGGAGAGGAATACAGTGTTGGGCAAAGAGACTGGTGGGAAAAAGGGGGACCCGGGCATGTACCCGGGCTGATGGGTGTGCACTGTGGGACCTGGACCTGCCACATGACTCTAGGCCTGCTTCCTTCCTTACCAAATGGCCATGAGCTTCACAATTTTAATGACACCTACCTTGCAGCATTGTTTTAAGGCTTAAGTTGATTTACTTGCTCAACAAATTACTTATTAAGTGCCTATTGTGTTTCAGATCTTGTTCTCGGTACTGGGGATAAAGCAGTGACCAAGAGAGAAAAAGAGTCCCAGTGCTCATTTGGGAGAGATGGATGATAGAAAGAAACTTCGGACAGTGGTAAGTGCAATAAGAGAAATAAAGCGGAGTGAAAGGGATAGTAGCGTAGGGGAGGCTATTTTAGATAAGGAATTTGGGGAAGATCTCTCTGGGGAGGTGAAACCGAAACCAAGACCAGGAAGAAGTGAGCGAATGAGCCAGGCCAAGCTCAGTAGCTCATGCCTGTAATCCCAGCACTTTGGGAGACCAAGGCAGGAAGATCACTTAAGTCTAGGAGCTTGAGACCAGCCTGGGCAACATAAGGAGACCTCATTTCTACAAAACATTTTTTTAAAAAGTAGCTGGGCATGATGTTTGCACCTGTAGTCCCAGCTACTTGGGAGGCTGAGGTAGGAGGATCACTTGAGCCAGGGCAGTCGAGGCTGCAGTGACCTGTAATTTCATCATTGTGCTCCAGCCTAGGTGACAAAGCAACACTCTTTCTCAAAAAATATGTATAGGCCGGCCGCGGTGGCTCACACCTATAATCCCAGCACTTTGGGAGGCCAAGGCAGGTGGATCATGAGGTCAGGAGTTTGAGACCAGCCTGACCAACGTGCTGAAACCCATCTCTACTAAAAATACAAAAATTAGCCAGGCGTGGTGGCACACACCTGTAATCCCAGCTACTCAGGAGGCTGAGGCAGGAGAATTGCTTGAACCCAACAGGCGGAGGCTCCAGTGAGCCCAGATCAGGCCACTGCACTCCAGCCTGGGTGACAGAGTGAGACGCTGTCTCAAAAAAAAAAAAAAAAAATGTATAAATAGACCAGGTGCAGTGGCTCTTGCCTGTAATCTCAGCACTTTGGGAGGCGGGTGGATCACTCAAGGTCAGGAGTTTGAGACCGGCCTGCCCAACATGGCGAAACCCTGTCTCTACAAAGAATGCAAAAATTAGCCAGACGTGGTGGTGCGCACCCGTAGTCCCAGCTACTCAGGGGGCTGAGGCATGAGAACTGCTTGAACTCGGGAGGTGGAGGTTGCAGTGAGCCAAGATTGTGCCACTGCACTCCAGCCTGGGCAACAGAGTGAGACCCTGTCTCAAAAAATATATCTGTCTAAAAATAAAATACATAAAAGATAAAGAGAGTGAGCCAGGTGGTATCTGGGGAAAATCGTTCCTCATGTTCCTCACAGAGGGAACAGCAAGTGCAGCAGGATGGGATCACACGACACAATGGATATGACAGCCCTGGGCTGTCATGTAAACACAAGGACCCTCCAAACCGGCCACTCCTCACTGGCCTCCTGACGCTCTGACCGCTAGCAAAGAAGTGACCAATCACAGAAACCTAAGTATTACACTTTACATTTCCAAAGGTCCTGGGTCTCGTCCCACGAGCACCGCTCCAGGAACAGGCAGAAAGAGAATGGAAACAACTTTCCTCGTGCCTCTATTAGAGCACTTAAACGTCTCATGATCTCTTTACAAATCAGTCTCACCCCTGGCACCTGGGCTTCTGCAGGCGGGACTGCTTCTCACTTCTTAGGGACCCTGCGGGGCACTGGTGAGCCACACTCCCTTTGGAATCCTGGGTTGGAACGCTGGTTCTGTCGTGTTCTTGCTGGGTGAGTTCAGTCCTGTTTTTTGCCTTTCTGAGTCTCAGCTTCCTCATCTGTAAGATGGGGGCATTTTTATAGCTAACTCCCAGGGCTGTTTTGAGAATCAGTGGGGCCCAGCATATTGTAAGTGCAAAAGTGTAGGTTATTTATTGTCATTGCTCACATTCTGAATGCCTGACAGTAAGTGCTCAAAAAATTTGGTAGAATAGAACTCAAGAGTAAGAAAATCCTCCAGGAAGAATTTCATGTTTAGAGCTGCTGCTATTTCGAGGGGATGTGCTTACCCTGCAAGCACCCAGGGAAGGATGTAGTCATCCGTGTGAGAACACCTGTGAGACATGACATTGACCCAAGTCCCTAATCTGATTCCTTGCTCCAGAGCCTGTTTTGATGTCCTGTTCTTAGGTAGAAGCCTTGTCAAGCCATTAATGTGATATGAACAGATACAGTGTCTGATCTTCGCTGGAAGCTAAGAAGCAGCGTTCATTCCCCCCGTATCCTTGGCTGCCTTCCGGCAGCTGATGGCTGGAGGCGGCTGGGCAGTGGAAGCAGATTCCCAGTGGCTGGCAGGAGTATGTGGCAGACAGGGCTGAGGAAGACGTCTCCCCGGGGATAGCCTCCTTGCTTGCTCAATTCCAAGTGACCATCAGCATTTTGTTTGCTTTCCTGAGACCCAGCCCTGGCATGAAGAAATAATGTGACCTTCAGACCCTCAACAAGCTGAATTACTAACCTTTGGTAAATCCATGCCAGGAATTGAGAGTGTTTAGCTCAAGTGAGCAGCAGACCTAGGCCAAAATGGCGTTACAAAACATGGAGGTCACTGTTAACACTGTGCATGTGAAGTCAAAGTGGAAGTAAGCTATTAAGATCTTAGTATGAGTCCAAAAGGGCCTGCTGACAGTCCTTGGCTATATGACTGTGAGCAAGTGCCTTAACCTTTCTCAACATCACTTTTCTCATCTATAAAACAGGAATAAGAATTCCTGCCACATCTGACTCATAGGGTTCTCATGAGGCTCACATTTGAGCAAATTTAGAACACACGGTATCAAGTGATCGTGCACGGCTTCCTTTATGTTTCCCGCGAGGGTGGTGGTGAGGCTCACCTGAGCAGCTACTCACAAAGATCAGCGCATAATAGATGTGCAAGAATCAGAATTCAGTTGTTGCTTGTAAAAATGCTACACGTGAAAATGCAATATAAGTGCACAGAATATTATAAAGTGTAAATTCTTACTTTCATCTTTCATTCATCTGTTAGCAGACAGAATTAACACGTGGTCCCACAGTCACCTGTCCAGCCAGGTAAATTTTTCCATCCCTGGTCCTAGGGGACGTCAGTAACTCCTTGCCATCCTCTTTACTCCTCAAGCCAGCCCCACACACGGTCTCTTCCTCAAACACTGTTTTTACCACATTGTTCCTCCTGAAGAACAATGCGTCTTACAGGCACAGGACTCCAGCCCCCTCCAAATTGTTCTTTGAAGCAAAACCTCCCTTTTCTGCTCTCAGGGTCAAGCCGCCTCTTCTCCACACCTCTGCTTCTTCCTTGAGCCATCACTGCCAGATGGAATGCCCTTGTCTCACCTCTCTTTTTTCAGGCTCAACTCTTCTTCAAAATTCATACCCCTCCTTCCTCTGGGAGCTTCCTCTGATTTACCCCACGCCACAGATCACTCAGCTAGTGTGGGCTCGGTTTGTGTTGTACAATTTGGCTTTTGCTCACACTTGATTTTCTAAACATTCTTTCAGCCCTGTGGAAGGGACTGCATCTTCTTCTGTCTTTGCCTGTGCTTAGTGGAACATACTATTTAAAGGATGAAATCCAGGGAGAATAGACCTTGACCAAGAGTCCCTCACCTTATTGTTTGCCTTCCTAGGCCCCTCTCTAGCAGCAGAAGCTCCCCGAGGAGCAGTGCCACCCTTCAATGAAACATTTTGGTTTAGATGTCAGCGGGGGTCCCTACCTCCCACCATACCCAGGGAAAGCTTTCAGTCAGTGCCTGCAGGGGACTAATTCTTCATGACTCCTGGCTTTTCTATTCAGGTATAATTGCTCTTGTTCTCCAATTTGGCAGGGGCCTTGCAGCCAAAAGAAACCTGTGCAGGGAGTAAATCAGAGCATTGGGTCAGTATCTCTGCAACGAACTGGGGTTTTTCTTCTAGTTTCTTTTTCTTTTTCTTTCTTTCTTTCTTTTTTTTTTTTTTTGAAGACAGAGTTATTTACTTCTGTCGCCCAGCCTGGGAGTGCAGTGGCATGATCTCAGCTCACTGCAAACCTCTGCCTCCCAGGTTCAAGAAGATTCTCCAGCCTCAGCCTCCCAAGTAGCTGGGATTACAGGTGCATGCCACCACGCCTGGCAATTTTTGTAGTTTTTTAGTAGGGACAGAGTTTTACCTACATTGGTCAGGGCCCTGTCTCAAACTCCCGACCTCAGAGGCTCCGCCCGCCTCGGCCTCCCAAAGTGGCTGGGATTACAGGTGTGAGCCACCGCACGCCCAAGCTAGATTATTATTTCTTTTCTTTCCTTTTCTTTTTTCTTTTCTTTTTTTTTTTTTTTGAGACGGAGTTCTTGTGCTCTTGTGGCCCCTAGCTGGTGTGGGTGGCGTGATCTCGGTCACTGCAACTCCCCCATCTGATGGGTTCAAGCAATTCTCCACCTCCAGGCCTCCTCAGTAAGCTGCGATTACAGGCACCCCACCCCACGCCCAGCTATTTTTATGCTTACATTTTAGTAGAGACAGGTCCTGTGGCTAAGCTTGTTCTTGAACTCCTGACATTGTGATCCACCTGCCTCAGCCTTCCCAAAAATGCTGGGGATTACAGGAGTGAAAACCGGCCCAAGCCAGTTTATTTTTATTGTACAGCCTATGCAGATTTGCCCAGGCTGTGTCCCACCACCATGTGTATATTCTAGGCCATGGCCTGGAGGCCCAAGAATCTAAGAGATGTCCTGGAGCTGATGTCACTGGTGGGGAAATGCTTAGAAAGAAAGAGCAATCCTGAGTTGGCTTCAAGGTACAGATTTGCTCCCACATTTCTCTTTTATTTTCCTTTGGTGTCTGTTCCCTCTGCGTTTATGTTTATGCTCAGCAGTGGAGATATAAGATAAAGAAGATCCTGTCTGTCCTGAGAGACTCACAGTCTGGCAGAACTTCCTACCCCACTAGTAGGAAGCCTCTTAGAGGTCCCTGGATTCCTGCTCTTCTCTATTGCTCTCCTAAATTGTGAGGTTAAAGACCATTTTAAGAATCTTATGAAGTTATGGATTCTCTCCCCTTCCTCCAAATGCAGACATATTCAGTATTTTGCATAAAACTCCCAGGGGTTTACAGACCCGGTGAAGCCCATCCACAAAATCCACGAGCTCCATTACAAAAAAAAAAAAAAAAAAAAACCAACAAGGATGAGAAGGGGGAAGAAACTTAAAATGGAATACAAATAGAAACCAATGCATCCTTTTGTAGCTCATCATCTTGATGACTGGGTTTTCACACACATGTGAGATGTGCCTCCTGCAAACCCTAAGACATCAGCACGTTACCTGACATGAAAAAAAGAAATGAACTTAGCTCTATTTTAATTAACTCTATTGCAAACAAATAATATTAAGATGCTGAAGGGAGGATAAAACCAAACAAACAAGCCCAACAAATATTTAATTCTAGTTAGAAGGATTTTTTTCTGTAGTGATATGGGTTAGCGGTTCTGAAATACCTTTTGTGTGCTGTAGAGTTGGGCAAATGAGTAAATGTACTGAGAATATTGGAAGCTAGTTCTTGCTGTTGGAGAGAGTTATAAATATGGAGAAAGGGAGGACTAAAATGAATTTTGTGGTGTCGAGTTGGAACTAGAGGTATCTATATGAATTCATGATTTTGTGTGTATGTGTGTGTGCGTGTGTATACAGATGTAGAAATTAAGATATGTATATTTCTTAGCTCTGTGGGCTAAAGGGCTTAGAAGTGGACACTATGGTAGCATTGAGTACACCTGGCACTCGAATCTTGGTTTCTAAATACCATTTTGTACTGAAAAAAAAAAACAAAACTAGGGCTCCTTGGAGAAATGGCTAATTTTAGGGCTGAGAGGGGGAAAGTACAAGATAAGCTTAGAATATCATATTGTGCCAGAAAGCAAGGAAGTGCTTTTTAAAAAATGGAGATATGAAAAAAGAACACAGGAATCAGAAGGGACCCCCATTGGCCAAATCTGGGACTATTTGAACATCAGAATAAATAATGGTAATTCTTTATTATCATTACAGTGGTATTATATGACAATATTACAGTGGTATTATCACTATAGAATAGCCATAGAATAAAATAATCTATGAGTTCATACAAATATAAATAAATGAAGGAGAAAGGATAGCTCTCTCTTATAGTAGAAATGATGAAGTCAGAATATCATCTTTGTGCAACCATGATTTAGACAAGAATTATCAATGGATGCTAAAACTAGTGGGTAGAAGTTTGATAAAGAAGAGTATATATACAAAGATTCCGAGCACCTCCATGAAAATAACTTGTTGATTACAAAGGGAAAATTAGTAACTCCACGGTGAGTTAATCTGATGAACACAACCATAACCATTTAACCACAGTTAACAATACCAATAAAGAGATGCACTGACCTCACTGCCTTGAAAAGGACTCCATATCATTTCTATGGTACACCTGCCAAAACTGTATAACCTTAACCTAATTATGAGGCAGCATCAAACAAACCAAACTGAAGGACATACTACCTAACAACTGGCCTGTAATCTAAAAACAAAAAAATCAAATTCATGAAAGGTAAGGGAAGGCTGAGAACCTGATCTAAATGAAAGAAGACTTAAGAGATATGAACAGTAAATGCAAAGTGTGATCATTAATTGGATGCTGGATCAGAAAAAAAAACAGCTATGAAGGACATTATTGGAGCAATTGGTGAAATTTAAATATAAACTATAGCTCAGATAAGCATTTCGTATCAATGTTACAAATTCCCTGATTTCCATACACATGTTGGGGTTATGTAAGAGAAAATCCTGCCTTTTCAGACCAAGTCGCCTTGTTGTTGTCGTGGAGATTTTCCTGCTACTGCTGCTGCCGCCGCCACTACCACTGGGCTCATTTGCCCTGACCCCTTCCCACCGCCCCACCCCCAGCCCCACACAAGATGTCAGAGGATTTAGCAAAGCAGCTGGCAAGCTACAAAGCTCAGCTCCAGCAAGTTGAAGCTGCATTATCTGGAAATGGAGAAAATGAAGATTTGCTAAACTTGAAGAAAGATTTACAAGAAGTTATAGAACTAACCAAAGACCCTCTGTCAACTCAACCTTCTGAGATGCTTGCAAGTTCAGACAGTTTTGCTTCTACTCAACCTACTCATTCATGGAAAGTAGGAGACAAGTGTATGGCAATCTGGAGTGAAGATGGATAGTGCTATGAAGCGGAGATTGAAGAGATAGATGAAGAAAATGGCACTGCTGCAATCACTTTTGCTGGTTATGGCAATGCTGAAGTGACTTCACTGTTGAACCTCAAGCCTGTAGAAGAAGGAAGGAAGGCAAAGGAGGACAGTGGTAACAAACCCGTGTCAAAAAAAGAAATGATTGCCCAGCAGCATGAATATAAAAAGAAGAAGGCTTTGAAAAAAGCTCAGAGAATAAAAGAACTTGAGCAGGAAAGAGAGGACCAGAAAGTGAAATGGCAACAATTCAACAACAGAGCCTATTCCAAAAGCAAAAAAGGCCAGGCAAAGAGGAGTATTTTTGCTTCACCTGAGAGTGTGACTGGCAAAGTTGGAGTAGGAACTTGTGGAATTGCCGATAAACCTATGACACAATATCAAGATACCTCTGTATATAATGTCAGGCATTTGATGCCTCAATAATCAGAAAAACTGTTGGATTTCATCTCTGCAGGGCTTTACATTTACCTTTTTATCCTTATATTTTTCTAAAGGTAAATTATTTGTTAGATGAGTAAGCAAGATACCATTGTCGTCATTGGTTGACTTCACTAGAATGAAACGTGAAGAAATTGCATTTGATAACTGCTATTTGTTTAACTTTTCTCGTTATCAGTACCACGGTTCCCTCAAAGTTTGTTGAATAAAGCAACTTTTGTAGATGCTGTTTCATACAGCACTTAGATGAATTATTCATCTTCCTAATATCAGGCGCCTACTTAACCTATGGTATGTACTTTTTGTAAGCTGTAACTTGAAATTTTCAGATACTTTGAACTTGACACATACTCTAGCAATTCATTGGAACACCAAGGCAAAAACACCAACCTGCTAAAGAGATCCTTTCATTTTTCTTATTTTCAACTTTAAAACTTGGCTGTTGTTCAGTTAAGCCTAAAGATAGGTTAACTTGTAAATGGCAAAGTTTGTTTTGAGGTTTTTCCTCAAAAACTTGTTTCCTAGGCCTATCAGGCCATCTCTAAAATTGATCTGTTTTATTTTTATGTACTCTTAGTTTTATGTAAGAAACCTTAGAATGAGCTCCCTTTTCTAAGGTGTTTTTGTGTTTTGTATGTTTGCTTTTTTCCTGTTTTTTGTTTTTTCATTTACGGCAGTGGTACCATGTTTTGGATGTGTAATGTTTATATGGGAGAACAAAAAGCTGCTGTATAGCCCTGTATACAGTGTAGATACTATTTTTGTAAAAACACAAGGCTAAATTAATGAACAAGAGTACTGACTGTTTCGTCATTAAAAAATTCTTGTATTTTTTGTGCATTAATCTGACCATAATTTCCCTGTATATTAAGTTCATTTAGCTGTTTGTAATTTTTGTTAATTAGATCAAGTTGTCTGCATTTGTTGGTGTAAGTGAACATCACAATTATCCTGAGTTGAGTTTAAGCCAGATACATGCATAGAAAAGAGTCTTCCTATTAATGGAAGAAGGTAATTTTTAGGATGTGTATTATTTCAGTTTTGTATGTTTAACTTTTATTAAATAAAGTGTTCTTAAAATAAAAAAAAATCCTTGGTCTTAGGAAATACTGACATATTTATGGATAAAGGGGGCATAAATAGTTCAGAAAAAAATATGTGTATGCACATATATGGATTGATAGACGATAGATCCAATGGGGCAAAATTATAGCAATTAGTGAATCTGGTAAAGAATATACTGTTTCTGCAACTTTTCTGTAAAAGTGTGAAATTATATAAAAATTAAAAAGTAGATAAAAACAGTACTTGCTGTAAGCTGGAACTCTTTTTTTTGGAGGCAGAGTCTTGCTGTGTCATGTATGCTGGAGTGCAGTGGTGCAACCTTGGCTTACTGCAACCTCCCAGGGTCAAGAGATTCTCATGCCTCAGCCTCCTGAGTAGCTGGGACTACAGGCATGTGCCACCACACCTGGCTAATTTTTGTATTTTAGTGGAGAAGGGGTTTTACTATGTTGGCCAGGCTGGTCTCAAACTTCTGACTTCAGGTGATCCGCCCACCTCAGTCTCACAAAGCGCTGGGATTATAGGCATAATCCTACCGCGCCCAGCTAAGCTGGAACTCTTACACATTGCTGGAGGGGATACAAATTGCTACGACCTCTTTGGAACTTCAGTAGTATCTTCTAAGGCTAAACACATATATCCCTGTCACCCAGCAAGTTTGCTTTCATATTTAACCAATGGAAAAGGGTGCTTCTTTTCACTAAAGGACAGGTACAAGAATGTTTATAGTAGTAAAAACTGGAAATAGTGAAACACTGGAAGCAACCTGCGATGGTTAATTTTGTGTATACTTGGCTAGGCAATGGTGCCTAGTTGGTTGGCCAAATATTAGTCTGGATGTTATTGTGAAATATTTTGTAGAGGTGATTAACCTTTACAATCAACTAACTTTAGGTAAGGGGAATTATCCATAATGGCCTCATCCAATCTGTTGAAGGCTTTAAAAGCAAAAACTGAGGTTTCCCAGAGAAGAAGGAATTTTGCCTTAAGACTGTGACATAGAAACTCTGCCTGAGTTTCCAGCCTGCTGCTCTACAGAGCAGCAGGACTTTTGTACTTGCCAGTCCTCACATGTAGTCAATTCCTTAAAAATAAATAAATACATAAATAAACCCTCCTCTCTCTCTCTCATACATATATATAATTGGTTATATATAACATATATAATTGACTCTGTTTCTCTGGAGAACCATGACTAATATACAACCCAAATATGTTTTGGTTGTATGAGAGAGGTAGTCAATGAAAGAATGGATACATAAAATGCATCCATATTATTCAAACTACATAGATTATTCAAACTACCCAGCAATGGAAAAGAACAAATTGCTATATGCACAAACATAGATGAATCTTACAGACATAATGTTGAGCCAGACACAGAAGAATATATACTGTATGAATTAATTTTTACAAAGTTCAGGAACAAGCAAGACTAATCTGTAATGACAGAAATCAGAATATTGGTTACCTTTGAGGGATAAAAGTAACTAGGAGGGCACACAAAGCAGTCTTCTGGGGTTTTGGAACTGCTATGTGTCAGCGTGGTAGTTACGTAGGAGCAAATATATGTCAAATTTCATCCAGCTGTGCGTTTTATGTATTTTTTTTAAAGAGGTTAAAAAAGAGTACTTATTTTAAATGCTCACTTTCTCCGTCCCCTCTATGGCTAAGCTGTAACCTCTGTACCGTGTATTTCTACATCCATATTGCAGATCCTGAAAATCTACTCAGGCCTTAAATACATGTTCATAACTCCATTTCTTATTCCTATCCAAAAAACTTGTTTTCCTTTTAGAATTTGCAAGCCATCTAAGAATCTTCCTTCTCTGTAACCCCGAGTACATCTGATGGCCAAGTGCAGTTGATCAACTTCCTAAATATCCCTCCACTTTGTCTCTTCCACTCTTTCCCATCACTGCCTTTGTTTAGGCACCATAATTTCTGCTTGAGTTGCATCATCACCTCGGTGACAACACCACCTAAATTAGTGTTTAAATAACTGAGGACTGTAGCTTTGCCATGCTGACACATAAAACTGACCATCACATAGGCCTAGCATCTACTCCAGTGCCCCCATCTGCTCAATCTATGTTTGTGAAATGAAATGGCTCATTTCTAACCCCAGTACCATCATGTTCCAGACAAGTCTTGGTGTCTGACCATGGGAAGCAAGTAGTTATCATGCATCCATTATGAGTAGTGCAGTGCAGAAAGAGGGTGATTCCAGAAATATATGATTCTGGGTTTTAATCTAGAGAGACAAAACACAGTCAGATGAGTACAAGACAACCTACAGGTAAGTTCCCACATGAATGTCTAAACCATCATCAGGTGCTTTTCATCTTCTTGTAACAATTTTTCTCAGCTTCATCTTTGTTTAAACGATGACAGTAGCCCCTCTGCTGGAGTCCCTGTCTCTAGCTCAGGCTCTCCCTGCTCCAGGGTCTCCTGTATCTGGGCTGCTAGTTGAATTGTCCTCAGATATTACTTTAGTCATGTCCCTCCCTGCTCAAGAACCACAAGAGCTCCTCATTAGCTGCCAAGTCAACTCTAAACTCCTCTGCCTAGCTTTCAGGACCTCCATGCTCTGACCCCTCCCAGGGTGATATGACAGCTGTCTTAATATTTTTGAAGGGCTGTCAGAGAGAAGGATTAGTCTGATTTGTGCTGCCCCAGCAAGCAGAAGTATTATCATAGGTGGAAATTACAAGAAAGATTTAAATGCCTTGAAGTGTAAACATTTTCCTTTCTACTTAGTGTGTGAATGTGGGTGGCAGAGGTGGTGGTGGCAGTGGTGGCAATGTATGGAATACTGTGTGTGACTCTGACAGAACTTGTTCTCCACTCATCAGTCTAAGGTTCCACGAAATAACAAAATACTGCACATCCAGTATTTTGATGTATACATTGTTTTTTTATGTATAATTTTTTTTGTAATTTTCAGGAATGAGATCTCACTGTAACCAATTTCTTTCACATAACAGAATACAGTGTCTATCTTTCCACATCATTAATTTTCTTCCATCACCTCAGTGTAAATGGCCATGCCACATTTCATTGTATGAATGTTTGATAATATCAGTATCTTATTCAGTAAGTCCCCTGTGGCACTTTATTTTTATTTTTATTTTTTGAGACAGAGTCTTGATCTGTCACCCAGGCTGGAGTGCAGTGGCACCATCTTGGCCTACTACAACCTCTGCCTCCTAGGTTCGAGCGATTCCTGTGCTTCAGCCTCCCAAGTAGCTGGGACTACAGGTGCATGCCACCACCCTCAGCTAATTTTTGTATATTTAGTAGAGATGGGGTTTCACTATGTTGGCCAGGCTGGTCTCGAACTCCTGGGCTTAAGTGATCTGCCTGCCTCGGCCTCCCAAAGTGCTGGGATTACAGGCTTGAGCCACCATGCCCGGCCCCCTTGGCACCTTTATAATAATTTATTATCAGAAACATTGCTATGGGTAGGTAGACTCTGAATGATCAAAATGAGAGTAGATAGGTTGGTGGAGAGAGAAAGTTCAGAGTGGTGAGACAGCCTGGCACCACCTCCTGACAGGCACTGAAGAGATATGGCCTGACAACCAGGATGCAGGTTACAGGGTAGTGGGGCTGAGACTGTCCCTGAGAACATCTAGGGCTAGGAGGCTTCTTAGAGGTCATCTTGCTTTGCATCCCTCCGGGAGCTTGACTTCACTGCATAGAATCCCTGGCAGGGCTGACCAGCCCCAGGTCCTGTATTTGAGAGCTTGCTGCTGTGCAAGGCTGTCCGTATCATTGCTGCAAAGCTCTGTTAGAAGGTCAAGTTCTCTGGGTAATGGGATTCAAAGTATTTTCTTTTTATCAATGCTTCTTAAATTTTATAAAATTAGCATGATTCAACTTTTATTGGCTTTTACAAAAGTATTTTTTAATTCTGTTCATCAAAGCCACCTTCTTCTCTGTTTACTCTGACCTACACTTATCTTTCCTGTCTCTAAATCTCATTGTTAATTTCTGTATAATCCAGTACATGTCTATATACTGTCTTGTGTTATTACAAGTTTGTTTCACTCATGTTGGTCTCAGCTGTCCAGTGAAGAACATTTTCCTCTGGCCAAATTGTGACTTATTTTCTCATTTTCCCTGACACATAGCACTGTGCAGGAATTGGCACTTATGATGGCTGGGTACTGGATTCTCCAGGTGTCACATAAATTATCTGGCATTCCACAGAGGCTCTGGACCTGGGGATGCCCCCAAACACCCACAGTTCTCCTGGACCTGCTGAGCCCCTTGGAAATGACCCAGGTATCCAGTCACTGGCATTGCTAATGTTCAACCTGTCACATTATTCTGCCTCTATCTCCTCTTTGACCTCTAGTGACTGGGCCAAGAGACCTGCAGAACCTAATGTCCTGTCCAGATTCCAGATTAAATGTCCTCCAGTAGCTACAGCACAATCAGAGGCTGGAAGATCACTTTTGTATTCTTTTCTCATTATTTGTGAACAGCATTAGAGCAGAGGTGGTCTCTAGCAGCTACCAATCTTTAAGAAATTACCCCACATTCTATTCTTGAAAAATGAGCGTTATTGCCATCGTGTCTACTGTGTGCCAGATACCATGCCAGACAGCTCTGTAAAGCTGACTGCAGGGACTAGGTCCTGACAGCCATCTCTTTGCTCTCTTGCTCAGTCCATACTGGGAGGCAGCTACTCAATTACATTTTTACTAGCAAACCCTCTGAAATGACCTCTACAATGATATCATCACACTCTTTTTACTCAGAAACCACTGCTTAGCACTATTAACATCTCTCCTCTCCATGCTAAATCAGAGGGGCAGGATAGCCTACTTAAATAAAGCTTAGAACGGGAGACCCTGCTGGTTTCTTGACAGTTTTTTTCAAGTGCATTCAGACATGATTCTCCATAGATATTGAAGGGCTGTCAGGTGGGAGGAGGACAAGATCTACTTTGTGACCGAATCCTATTGCTTCTACAATCCTAACATGGCTCCCGGCTCCATGCCACAGTCCTGCTTCAGACCACCATGCACTTGCCTGGATTACCACAGCGGCCTCCCAACCAGTTGGCCTGCCTGTCCAGTCTTGCTCCTCTAATCCTTTCTCCAGAGAGCCTAAGTGATCTGTTTAAATTGTAAATCTGATCACACCACACCTCTGCTTAAAACTCCATAATGCTTTTGTATGGCCTTCAGGATAAACCTAAACTCCGCAGCATTGCTTTGAAGACCCAGTCTCGGCTTGGCTCTCAGGCTGCATGTCTTGCCCAGACTGTTTCAGTCCTACCAAACCACTTGCACACTGAATCCCAAATACTTTTTAATTCTCTTACCTCTAGGTCTTTGTCTAGAACATAACCCCTCCCCTGTTCACCAAGTTAGCTCTTTTGCCTTCCAGATGTTACCTCAGATGTCACTTCCTCCAAAAGTCTACCCTGGTCACCCAAGGCTACGCTGGGTATCCTTCTGTCTTCTGAGTATTCTAGGTGTATTCTATCTTCTCTCCTGTCGTTTTATCTTGTGATTGCCTGTTTCCATGTATCTTCCTCTCCAGACAATAAGCTCCTTGAGGGCTGGGATTGTTTTATCTATCATTGTATTTCCAACACCAGTGCTTGGCACAGAGACACTCAATAGTTAATGAATGAATGACAGATGAGCTAACAAGAATAGGTGGAAGACTCAGAGGGGTACATTTCTATGTACTGAAGAACTTGCTAATAACTAGTGATATTAACAACAACAAAAAAAAAAAACCCAAAAAAAAACCACATTGACCTACCAAGCACAGGGAAAGCCCCATCTCTGAAAAGTCTCCAAGCAGAGCCCAGCTGGTCATCAGGGAGCTTCCTCAGTAGATGGCAGTAGATGTGAGATGCCCTCCACTCATTTCCCATCTGTAGGAAGCCACGCTTAGATTCACTTGTGAGGTCAAAAGACTTGGGCTGGGGTCCCAGTTCTGCACTGACTGTGAGGCTTTGGACCAGTCATAGCCTCTGAGCTTTCTTGCTTGTGAAATAGAAATGACACCTGCACTGCCTACTTCAGAGATTTTTGAGGTTCGAATGAGATCACACATGCTCAAGTACTCTGTGAAAGCCTTAAAATAAAATGAAATGTATTATTTACCATGTAATCTTCAGGACTTGCAGCCTCACTGAATAATTTGAGTTTCACAACTAAAATGGAAACCAAGTGCCACATGTAAAGCACTGCTGCAGGGAGAGCTGCGAAATTAGAGCAGAGACCTGCCTCTTCTGCGCTGCACTACCGCCCTAGGGAAGATAGTGGGCATCCGGAGCATCTGGTTGGTTGGGGTCTGTCAAGGGCTGCTTGTTCTAACCATCAGAGAGATTGCTTGGGGCCTACTACTAATGTCTTAAATCGTCATGAAAATCAGCAGAAAACAAAAACTACACACATACTCAATAAACCTTTCCTTTGGGTCCCTTGATTTATGCTTAAAGGAAAGTCAAGAACAATTAACAGCATTTCACTTCCCCTTTAGCAAGACAAACCCAATGAAACCATTAACCATTTAATTTAAAGGCTTTTTATTAGGAACCAGGGGAATGAGCTGCTTATCCCTCTATAACAGTCTAGAGCAGGTCGTCAGGCCCAGGATGGAGAGAGGTTATCAAAGGTGCTGTGGTGTGCTTTGCTGCACGTGCTTAGGGCCTGGAAGGAAAGGTGGTGGCAACAGAGGTTGGCAGGAACTGGTGTTAGTCGAAACACCAAAATCCTGGGGGAGAGCCCCTCTACCTTCCTTCTAACTCCACTTGAGGCGGGAGCATTCCAGGAGACAGAGAATGTGAGCAGGATGCAGCAGTGTCATCTGAACCCCTGGCTTCGTTCAGTGCTACTTCACTTGCCGGCCCTCCACTCTTCTTGCCGTTTAGTGATTAGGTATTTGAAGAACTCATACACAGACCACGCTATGGCTGTGGAGGGGATCTGGTAAATTACTCTAGCTTGCACCCCTCGGAAGTAGGCGGTCACCCCACCTACTTGATATACCGTCCTGAAGGCACTAGCCATGCCTGTGATATGTCCTGTAATGTGTGAGTTCAAAGCCAAGGACTCCTGGGTGTTGAGCAGTGTTTTGCAAACGTCCAGTGGGGTTGTGGCTGCGGCAGCTACAGCTCCTGCGCAAGCTCCAGAGAGGACGTGGGAGCTTGGGTTGTACCGTCTCTGGGGGTTAAAGTGCTCCTGCAGGAATTCATAGGTCATGAAGTGAATGGCTTGGAAGGGAACGTTCATGGTCAGCTGGGTGGTGTAGCTGCGGTAGAAGGCCCCGGCCCCTTCATTTTGCCACACTGCCCGTACACAGTCTGTCACCCGGTGGTATGGTGAGTTGTACATCTGCATCCTCTGCTTGACCACTAGTAGTGCCATCATCAAGGAAGGAAATGGTGACAGCGGCCAACCAGTGATGGAGAGTATCCAGATTCACAGTCCCAAGTCAGCAGATCAGCCAATGGAATAGAGAGAGAAAAAAGTATGAGTGAGCTGCTGGCTAACCTGAGAAGTCAGCTTCCCTTTTTTGAGGGGAGGGAGTAGGCAGCGGGTTGGTAACAAGTCAAAAAACAACAAACCCACTTCCATCAGGACTTCTGTAAAGCCAGCCAATTCACACACAGGACGTATCTATGGTGTGGGAGCTCCAGAGAGTCTTCTTGAACTAAGTACCTATCTCTAATCTTACCCTCTTACCACTCCTAACAAGAAATGACTCCATGACAGTGAACATTATCATGAACACAGGCCCCTAACAATCCCAATCCTCAGGTACAAAGAGCACCTAACTTCTAAAATGTGAGATGGTGATCCTCCTAGAGGGGAGGAGAGAGAAGTGCTACCAAAGAAAAGATTCTTAGCCAAAAAGAGTTGGCTTTAGTTTTCAAACACCTCCCACTCCCTCAAGTAGATAACATGGTGTGAGCTCTGTGGAGCTTCAGCTTAGCTTTGGCTCTGTCCACCCCATGGCCTTGCCCAGACAGAAAATGAACGTGGCAACGATGCTATCCCCTTGTATTTGTTCATCCTCACGTGGAGAATGTTTTTGGAGAATTTTCCTCCAACTGAAAAGCCAAGACCCCAGTAGAAATGCAGGGACTGAGTTCTACAATTTAACCTTTCATTCCTATCCCAACTAGCTTCATTCCGATAAGAAAGGCAATATATTTAAGTGTCAATTCCTGCAAATCATAAGAGGGCAAAAAAAAAAAAAAATCCATCTTCACCTCTTTGAAGAAAAATGAACCTGCTAAACTTTCAGGACAGATCAAATCTACTACAAAGGAGACTCCCAGGAAAGCCCCAAAACAGGCCACATGGAGCCATATCTTTTTCTAGGGAAGCCCCAAGGATTAGTGAAATCCCAGTGAATCTGCTTCCTGTCCAAGAGGGTGCCTCCTAACTACCAAAAACATGGAGGGAGCACCCTCTAGTGGTAAAACAAGGTAAGAGAATTTCCCACCAAAACTGATGTGCTCTTTCTTCTACAAACTGGAAAGAAACACAGGTGCAGCTGCCCAGAGTGATAGGTTGAGGAATCATTACCTTCTGCAGGGTTCATGGCTGCATCATGAAGTAATGTTGCCACACACCCGGCCGCACCTGCAAACAAGAAAACAACTGCCACATGTAAGGCCAAGAGAGCGTGACCAACTCATTGAAGTCTCCCACTGAAGGGGAGTGGCTGTGCTACACCACAAGGTAACGTTAGGAGGTAGTCCAAAAGATGGGGATCCACTGCTCCTAAACTCCTGTTTAAGGGAAGTATCTGTTCCCACCAACTTTGTAAGGTCACCAATGCATTCCACATCCATGATAGGAAGGCCAGCTCAGGTCTTATCAATAAAGATCGTTCTGAGAATAAACGCAGCGCCCCAGACAGGAAGCAGATACACTGCTGCCTAGGGATGGCAGGGCCACCAGTGGAGGGAGATACGGGGGCCAGGTGGTCAGATCTCATAGAATCTCACCACAGAATCCCACCTCTGTCCTGCTGCAGAACCCATTTGCAGATCCTAACGTTTGTCTATAAAAATCTTTCGTTCAGGTCCTGAACTACTCTGCCCCTCACCCTCTCCACACTCAACTTGGTTCCAGCCAGTCCTGAAGCCCTAGGCTGCTATCCTTTCTCTTACTTCCATACAACCTTCTGGTTTCTTCATGCAGTTCCTTGGCCCCACCCCCATTCACTTTGTCACGAGGCTTTGTCATGTTCTCAACAACACAAACTGCCTCTGGTGAGTTAGGATCCTGAAAAGGTGAGGCGAAAAGCAGGGGCTTCATTAGTATCTTCCTTGGGTGGCTGGCTGGGTCGCCTCCAATCCTGCCCTGAGGAGCAGGACACCATACAACTATGAAACATACACTGGGGGTAGTTCAGTGTGTCTCCACGTTACCAGGGCATTAGAAGTTGATGCCAGGGAGATGAGAGGAACAAGTCAAGCTGGTAGGTAAGGGAGGATACTGTAACCCTTTGTTGAGATGCCCCAAAGGAAAAGGCAGGGTTGAAGCAGCCCGTTGTCTGAGAACATCAGGTTTGGAAGTCCCTCCCTTATAATCTGGCCTATCCCAGCCCAAAGCTTCAGCTCCAAACCATGCTGAGACTGGAAAGCACTGACAGCAGCAAAGCCCAAAGAGTTGGGAAAGTGGGGGAACCAGCACAGGAAGGCTCAATACCATTGGCAATATGGCTATTGCCCCCAGGGTGGATTACATCACTCAATGTCTTTTTTAACTTTTCGTAGCAGGCAAAATAAAGGGCGTGGGCAGGCCCTGCGCCTGTTGCTGTGACGTTCAGCCCCCTCATGGGCCTCCATAGGCCCTCCGTTCTTATAATCCTCCAGAGGGCTTCCAACACATTGCGATAGCGGGCAGCTGGGTCAGGCTGTAGACTCTGCATCCGGGTCTGAAATTACAGCAAGGAGAAGCGCAATGTCAGCAATGCCAACTTCTCGCCCTACCTCAACACACTGGGCAGACCTTCTACATGGAGCTGTGCCCATCTGTGAGAGGGATATCTGACATTCAGCTTATTTCCAATCTATAGCTGATCTTTCTTTTAAGCCTTGGACCTTTCTTTTTCTAGTTATCTATGACCCTGAGAGTGGAACACCATTATTTTCCTTGAAAAAATAATACCACCATTTGCTAAGTGTCCTGGTACTCCAAAATCATTCAGAGCCCCAGCAACAAATACCAAGCTTTCAGAAGTTGCTTTTGTGCCTTAATACACTCAAGCTGACAGTTCTTCACAAATGGATTCTAAATTCAAGTATTTACTGTCTATGACATACTTTATGCTTTATACCTAAAGACTGCCCCTGGCCCTGCTTCATGACCACACACTGAGGGGCAGCTAATATTTTGATACTTTTTCAGACTATCTGGCAATGGCGGCTGGGTCTACACCGAGTCTTGGCAGAAGTAGCATTCTTAATAGATGGTTTTATTTCTTGGGAAAGAAAGTTTACCCTGAAACTGCAAAGGTGGGAGTGTCTAGCTAGAAACCAATCTAGTCTCCAATCCTGAAGGGCCCTTCCAGATTTCCCATCTAAATTGATTGAATCCCAAAATTGGCATTAGTAAATAAAATCAGTCTCAGTGAAACATAATCCTTGGAATCTCTCTAAAGGATTCAATGATTGGAATAAAAGCGTAGGGTAGACACTTTGTATGATGTTCCTTGACAAAGTTTTGTTGAAATTTGGGAAATTAATCTTACTTGAAACACCTCCCTAAATTAGACCTTTTCTGAAGAGTGTGTCTCCCCAGGAAAATTTCTCTGACCCATCTACTGACCCATTTCAAGGTAAAGTAACATGGAAACTAATAGTTAATATAAAATCAATGTCTAAAAAGAAAAACCAATGTCTGGTGCCTGACACACAATAAGCACTTCTGATTTGTCTGTTGAATGAATGAATCTTTTGTCACATAACTGTATCAGCTACAATCACTGGTGAGCCAATGGGAGCAAGTGATGCCCAAGTACAGTTTAAATTTCTGCATCAATCTAATCACTAGATTCTATTTGGAATTAAAAGCTTGAACCTTCGGCCAGGCACAGTGGCTCACACCTGTAATCCCAGCACTTTGAGAGGCTGAGGCAAGCGGATCACCTGAGGTCAGGAGTTCGAGACTAGCCTCGCCAACATGGTGAAACCCCGTCTCTACTAAAAATACAAAAAAATTAGCCGAGCATGGTGGTATGCGCCTATAATCCCAGCTACTCAGGAGGCAGGAGAATCGCTTGAACCTGCAAGGCGGAGGTTGTAGTGGGCCTTCACTGGTTTGAGCCACTGCACTGCAGCCAGGGTAACAAGAGCAAAACTCCATCTCAAAAAAAAAAAAAAGAAAAAAAAAGCTTCAACCTTCCTCTTGGCCAATTGGAATCCAAGAGTAATACCTTTCCTCAAGATCATGGGAGAAAAGAAACTAACCAGATGAACAGGTCCCGGTTAGCTGCAAGCAATCCACATTCCTCTGGTTATTTTCTCCTGCCTGCTACCAACAAAAAACCGGAAGCTTAAAAAGTTAGTTACTGGATGGTCAATCAGAAATACTCTATACAGTATCACTTATCACAATTTGACACATTCTTTCCTACTTCCCCCCGCAAAACCTCATGTATTTCCAATAAAGGGTTTGTTTACTGATCTTTCACATCACACAAGGCATATAAAATCCATCAGAAGAGTTGTTCATAGAGACTACGGGTCAAATGCTGGCTAGAGCTACTAATAAGCAAAGATAAATTGAGCCTCTTGGCTTATCATGTTTCCATGCATTTATTCAAAACTGATCTTGTATAGGGAGAATGTTCAGAAATTGCATTGCTCTGCCGCAGTCAGTGGTGTATTTGGCTACCAATTCTGAAAGGTTTGGCTTCAGAGGCCTGGAACTCCTCACCCCCAAGAGAAAACCAGATTGTGGGAAGCTACTTTGAACATTCTATACACACATCTAAGTCTAACTCAACAATTCTAACTCGATAAAAATACACCCTTATGGAGAGGACCTGGGCATAAGCTATGCCAAGTATATAAATATGGCTCCCCAAGTTTGTGGGCCAATAAATCTGCCTTTTACAGAAAGATGAAATATCTAAGTAAGAATTTCTGAAAAATCTCAGTATGAAAAACCTCGACCTGGCTTGGAGAAAAGTCAAACAACCCAGTAGAGAGGTAAGTGGTTTGGTAAAAGCCAAGCCACATTTGAGTCAAAAAGCCTGAGTCTGAGCCTCAGCTTTGCTAGTTGTATGATCTTGGGTATGTCACTTAACCTCTCTAAGCTTCAAAATTGTCATCTATAACAATAGGCCAAGAATGACTGGCTCATAGGGCTGTTGTGGGGATTAAAAGAGATAAGGTATGTAAAAGCCATTGGTAATTTATAAGGTGCTAGAAATATAAAGATCTTTATTGTATTCAAAATGATTCTAAGATATATTTGTTCATATCTAAGAATTTACAGATCATGGTAGCATTGCCTCCTGTATAAGTCATTTCACAAATATACATGGGCAACTAACTGTCCTTAGCCACTAATAAATCGGGGTTAATTTTGTATTTTTTGTTTTCCTTTTCAAGTTTCTCTGTGGCTATAATGATTTACATGTCCCACTATTAATCTGAAGGTCATATGTTCAGGGACAAGCTTTACTGTGAAATTCTGTGCCTTGCCTGGTTCTTGTAATCTGCTTTTGGGAAGCTATATGGAAGGCTTGAGAGTCTGATACACTGAGTTCAAATCACAACTGTGCCACCTAAACTCTGTGACCTTGGACAAGTTATATAACTGTTCCCTAAGCCTCCTTTCAACTGTAAAATAATGAAAATAGTTTCTACTTCATCAAGTTGCTTCACAGATTAAATGAATAAATGTATGTAAGGTACTTCAGATAGTGCTTGGCACACAAGATCACCGAACACTTATTAGATGCAAGAAAATCAAATAAGCTAATGTTTCCATTTCCTAACCTTTCACAGGTGAATATGTACAGATACCATTTACATTTGGAAACTGGAGATTTATCTCCCTCTGCTCTTGCCCTCTTTATTATATAAGTGGATATTTGCTTCACCACTTCAGAGCCAACAACAGCAGCTTGATGATAGGTGGGTACTTAGCCAGATGATTTTGAGAAGGGTTCTGACCGTTTTGGGTTGCAGAATCTGTCCCCGTAGATAAAGTCTGGCGCTTGCCTCTGAGGCCCAGAAAAGGAAACTGGGATTTATCTGGGCTCCCAAGCCTCTCCATTATGGCCATGGAAATAGCTGGTTGAATAACAATGGTCTAGCAAGGCTACACTGACTTCTCATGGTCCCTCTCAAGGATATTAAAAGTCAACTTGACCCTGATAAGTAGCTGAGGATGGACAGGCTTGCATGCTAAGAGGCAATGTCAGCTTTCATTTGCAAACACTATGGTTGCCCTTTAGGCTCCAACAACATGGATACCTGCCTCCAGTCTTAAAGACTGGGCTGCTTTTCCTCCCCACCATCCACTTATTAAAAGAAGAAGGATAACTGCCGGAACAAGCAAACTGGGAAGCCCTTTCTGAAGGAAGGGATTTGAATTTTACTTTCATGCCTGCACAAAAGCATTTAACATACTCACTGACACTAAATCATACTGGCCTCACCTAGTTTTTCCCTCTAAGTCATTTAAATCCCAGCATTAAGTGCAAGTCAAAATGAGCCTTCTAAAATAAGCTTTCGTTATTGTTGACAACTCCTGAGCATTTTTTTCTCAAATCATTATTTCCTTAATGGAGGGCTTTCAAGATATAACTGCAATGTTGTATGACTAATTTTTTAAAAACCAAAATGCCAAAGCTTATGTAAATGAGTAAGAACTGTTCTTCAAAATAGTTACCTTGGAAGGCTACAATTGACTTATTCCAGCAATGCTGTGGTTATGCAAAACCTTTCTGGAACTTCTCTTTCAGAGGTGTTTCCTCAATGGGTTTATAGGCCTCAGAAGTAAAGCAGTCTCCTTGCTTTCAAGTCCCACTTTATTTTGACGCCAACAGTATTACCCATTTTGACCTCCCACTTTGTTCACCATATTTGATTCTGAATAGTCTTTTGTTCCTGCAAAATCAATTTCATCTTATCACAGGGCAAAGATTTGCCTCCCTTAAGGACATGCACCCAAATATTCTAGAAGCATTTTTAACAGGGATTTATAAAATGTTTATAGCAACAATAGCACTATGTAAATATATGGAGTAAGGAGATAACCTCCCATTATGTTATAATGGAACAGTGGTTAAATTGGTAAGTTACAGTAATATTTCTAAGATAAATTATTACACTGTATTTTTCAAGCCATTAAATAATTTTCACGGTTTTCTTTGATCTGTTTTCCATTCAATACTCATCCAGAAAAACAGCATCCTAAACCCTGCACTCCACTCCTACTGCACTCACTCCCTAGTCTAAGTCTAGGGAGCTAGATTATATTAACTTTTGGATATACGGCATTGTTAACTCACAAGTCATTCAACCTAGAGTCTATACATATAATGTATGCATCTTTTTTATTTGTACTTACTCGTTTTACATTTCAATGTTGTTACTTCTCATGGATTTTACTGTTTATTTCTATTTCTCCCAATTGACAAAGGCATTTAACATTCTAATGTCCATTTTAGTCAAGTACATTTACCCCATTTTCAATGGATATGGCCCTTGTTAGGAATTACTTTGTGCTAAAATACTCCTGCCAGTTTACTGTCATTCACAAAGCTTAATGAGCACTCCTCCCATTTCCTTATCCACATTACTAATGAAAACATGAAACAGTACTAGAATCAGAGGGAGGTAAAAGGGATCTACTTTGCATTTCCCAAGTTGATTCTCTCCTCCTTTTGAATACATAACACTTTCCTGATTTGACGAGGAAATATAAATCAAAAAGCTGCCAGGTTACTGTTTGACTATTACCCTTAACATGTAAAGGAGGTATCGGTCTTTGTCATATCAACAGTCCCCTCTAGTTTACCTCTCCCTCAATTCAGTCCTCACCTTTAGTGGCTGCTACCTTTACTAATGCAAGAATAAGAACTGTAAAGAACAATAATCTGTTTCTTTCTTCACCCAGCTTTCTTCAGAAGGACCTGACTTCTGTACACATTAATCATCCTGCTTGGTTGTGAATGCAATTTTACTTTCACAAGAATCGTGTCCTCTTGTTGATCTCATTCCATTGTCTTCATACTTACATCTACTTTCTAATACCGTCACACTTCCTTTCTAGGCAACTTCTCCCTTTTTGTCAACTTCAGGTGGCCAAAGAAATTGCTATCAGTTTCATCTCTCTTGTTTGGAGGCTGATGTGCTCCCTGCACATACAGTCCTAATCCCAGCTCAATTTTCATGTTCAGGAAATAGGTGGGGTATCATGCTTGCTTCACAGAGAAACTGAAACCTTTTCCTGAATACGATCTTTCCCATATTACTTCCAGTCTGGAACTCTGCATTCTCACTGCACAATGATTTCCAATCACTCATGTGTTAAGATTTAACGTGTAAGTCCTTTATCTAGCTGAAAGATTCCAGATTCGGGTTCCTGCCCCGGCAGTAAAGGAAGATACAGTAAGGAGTTTGTAAAAGCACTAGCCCAGAAAACATCTCAAGCCGTTAGATCCATTTCAGGGTCTGGGTCACGCCAGCTGGCTTCACCTTAATCGAGTTAGTAGCACTTACCTGAGCTTCGGGATACCCCATCCCACCCTATTCCTGTTTAGTCCCAGGTGGGGTCCAGGGCTTTGGCTGACAGATTTTCGATCCTGAGTCCCGATTCAGATTTCACTGACGGTTAGAAATAGGTCCTGGTTCCTGACTGGGATCAACTCCCAGCTGGGACCTTGCTTGAATGGAGTGTCGGTTCGAATCATGTGGTAGTGGCAGGAGCCAGGAAGGAACCCATGTCGGCTCCGGCTCTCAGCCGGGATCCTGGCTCCGGACAAGACCCAGGGGTCGGGTCAGCCCCAGGTCTGGTTCGAAGCCCAGTGCAGGTCTCACCTTGACGCAGTCGATGGGGTACATCACGCAGTGCTCCAGGATCCCTGCCACGGCGCCTGCCACCATGTGCGTGGTGACAGTGGCTCCAGCCGGCAGCGCCTCGTAGTCCGGGCCGGAGTCCGGATCTTGACGTACCGGCGGCCTGCAGGCCCCGGCCTCCCCGCCGCCGGCCCCCCGGCCCACGCCCCGCTGCAGCCACCCGTCCAGCAGCGCCGACTCCCCGGGGCTCCGCCCGGGCCCTGCCGCCGGCCCCCCCGCCACACCGCCAGCACCCCGCCCCTCCAACTCCATCCACCCGGGCCAGCTGCGGCGCCCACCCCCGCCGCCGCTGCCACCAGTGCCGCCGCCGCCCCCCGGCCCCGTAGTGTCCGCCTCAGGCGCGGCCCAGAGAGCCCGGGGCCTCCGGCTCCCGCTTGGCCCCGCGGACACGCCCCCCAACCAACCATTGGTGCAGACCCCGAGTTAGACCCACCCTTTTCCTGACGTGAGAAAAATCAGTCGGTAGTATTAGCGAAGTCGCCTGTCATTCCTCCGCCCTGAGGCGTTGCTAGCGCCTAAATCCCACCCCTTCCCCTTTGATCTTGGAAGCTTCTTGTTTATTGGTCACTGATTGGCCGACATGTGCGATCAACCCGCCTCTGACTTTTTAGAAGGGCGGGAGAAACTTAAGGCTGAACTTTGATAGGCTCAACCACTCTTGATACTTTGACCGCGGCCATTGGCCCGCACCACGTCGGTCCCCGATTGGCTATAGAAAGAGCGAAGCGCCCAGGGAGTCCAGGGGCCGACTTCGGGCCCCTCACTGGCGCCTGCAGAGCTGCGGTCCGCGTGCGCGGGATCGCGTCGGGGGCGGGGCGGTGACAGGCCTTCAACGTCAAACTGCTGACGGGCACCGTTAGGACCAGCGCTCGAGTGCGCTCCTCAAATTCTGAGACGCGTGGCTGGAGAGCGGGCGGCCCTGGCCCCGGAGAGCCGTGTTCCCGCGGGATCTCGTCGCAGGCATTAGGCGGAGCCGGCCTGGACCGGTCATTCTCTGGCTGGCGCGACCCGCAGCCTGTCCGGGAAGCCGTTGCGACATGCGGGCCGGGAACCGCCTCACAGCCAGGGGGGGACCGCGGCGGCCCGCTAGACTCTTGTCGGGTCTGGAGTGGGCCCTGGGGCCGGACCCAGTGCTCCTCAGGCCCCAGCGCCCGGCACTGAGCCTCGCATCCACGTTCGCACAGTAAACCCAGCAAGTGTTGAATGAATGAGGTCCTCCGGGCCCCGGCTGTCACTGGGCTCTGCGCCAGGCCGAGAGCCGAAGGCGGGGAAGGAAGATGTCGAAATGGGCGGGATGATTCAGAGATGACGGCCGGTGGCGAGGCGGGGCTGGAGGCCGCATCCCAAAGGCAGCAGGAAAGTGCGGCGGCTGTGGGGAAGCTCGGACGCACTGCCCGGCCCAGTCTGAGGCATCAGCATCTTGTTCCTGAGCCGGCGCGCTGATGGGCCCCCGCCTGGCGATGAGGGCCTCTGCCTCCCTCGGGTCAGCCCGGGTCCTGAGAGGCAAGGCCAGCGATTCCCGGCCTTAGGACCTCCTGCGCTAGGGAGCACGGGCGCCTTCCGTTTGCCTTCCCTGAGCGTGTTGGCACAAGCCGCCCGCGGTTTCCAGCTGTCTTCTCTGTTTTACCCAGATGATGCAACTGTGGACTTTTTCATCTGTTTATAGCCTTTCCTTGGATAGGAAAGATGTTTTCCTTTTTTTTCTTTCTAAAGTTTAGCCCTTCTCTGGGCTTCCTTTTTAAAAACTTTTTGTACTCTTAAGCGGTCGTTGTTAACCGTTGGGTCGCGACCGTTTGGAAAATAATAAACCTACGAATTCTCTTCTCCTACTTCTACCTCCCATCCCCTCTGTGCACCCAAAATTTTGCATATAATTTCTGCATTTCAGAGTCCCTGAAGGTGCCATGTGGACACCCTAGGGGGTCCATTAACCTAGTTAACCTCTCCCTGGCCGGCGCAGTGGCTCACACCTGTAACCCCAACACTTTGAGAGGCCGAGGTGCGACGATTGCTTGAGCTCAGGAGTTTGAGACCAGCCTGGACAACATGGCAAAACCCCGTCTCTACAAAATAATAATAAATACAAAAAAGTACAAAAATTCAAAAATTAGGTGGGTATGGTGGCATGCACCTGTAGTCTCAGCTACTGGGGATAGGATTGCTTGCACCAGGGAGGCCGAGGCTGCAGTGAGCTGTGTTGACGCCACTACACTCCAGCCTGGGTGACAAAGCAGAACTTTGTCTCAAAAAATTTTTTTAAAAAGGAAATCCCCCACAGCATGTTCAGTCTCTCCATTTCTCTAGCATATTTAGCTTGAGAAATGAATAGGTCTACCAAAAACCCATTCAATCCTGCTAGAGTACTAATTCCCTTTACTGCCAGATTACTCAAGTGATGACCTATCCACCTCTATGTCCTTTCTCTCCTTAAGCTCTTTTCATTTTTCACTCTCTTATTCATTGGTCATAAATGACCTTTCCAAATCCAATGGTTTTTTTCTATTCCGGTTTTTCTTAACATCTCCAGATAACACTTGCCCCCACCCCTCACTGGCACTTTTTCCTAGCTTCAGAAACCACTCTACCTTTTAGACTTCTCAGTCACTTACACTTCTCTAGCCATTAAAGTGGAACATCCCTAAAAGTTTAATGCTTCATGGTCATCTTTAATACCTTAGAGAACTTTTGCCATTCCAAACCAGTTGTCCTCATTGGAACCTATCTTTATTTCCCTTATTGCATACTTTTAACTGAAAATTCCATGGGAACATTCAGTAATGTTTATTGAGTACCAACTGTGTACTTGAAGCTGGGGATACAGGACAGACAGAGTCCATGTTCTCATGGAGCTTTTTAATGATGGGGGTGGGGAGGTGGGACAGAAAAACACACACAAAATGTCAGCTCTGGATGCCATGCTAATCTTTGAAATAGGGTGGTATGATATAGTGTGACTGGGTGGCTACATTTGTATGGCCAAGGAAGGCCTTTCTGAGGAGATGACATGTATGGTGAGTTCTGAATGACAGGCAGGAGCCAGTCATGACAGACTTGGAGAAGGGGCTAGCAGAAGGAACAGTAGGTACGACAACCCTAAGATGAGAACAAGGTTGGTGCATGAGGAACAGAAGGCCAGTGTGGCTGGAGCATGGTGAGTGAGTGGGGGAGGGGATACAACATGAGGTTGGAAAGATAAACAAGTGGTGAATATTCACCTTGATTTCTGACTCAGCATGTCCATTCCAAACTCGGCCGTTCCACTCCCCACCCTAACCCATTCCTCCAAAATGTTCGTTTTCCATGAAAATCTTCACTATTTGCCCAATCAATGAGACTGTAAAGCTGGAGTCTTCCTTGAGTGCCCATTCAGAATCATTATTCTGAACTGTTTCTTCTGTTTATGCTCTCCTTTTCCTCTGTATTGATATACTTTCCCTGAATCTGGTTACCTCTGTATTGTCATAACCCCTTGAAAGGCCTGCCTGCCTTGAGGATCCCCTAGCTTCAGCAGTATTTCGATTCTCCTCCTCCCAGGTACATAGTAGGATGTTTTTTCCACCTCCTTGAAGATAGGCATGGCTATGGGATTTGATTTGGCCAGTGAAATACGAGGGAAGCACAAGAGTCACACATTTCCTCCTCTGCCACATGACTAGTGATTGTTCAAATGGTGGAGGCTCTGTCAGCCTGGGGCTCTGGTGAGGATGACATGAAGCAGAGTTCCCTACTTGCTACCTGCTTGCTCTCAGACAGACTTCAGCATCAGTGAGAAATAAATCTTAGTTGTTTCAAGACACAGAACTTTTAGGATTATTCCACACCATAGCGTAAACTAACCCAGTACTTCTGAGACTTCAATGTTATGATAAATGATATTACCTAAAGAATTTGTTAAAATGCAGATTGCAGTTCTGTATGTCTGGGTGGGGCCTAAGATTCTTCCCTCCCTCCCTCCCTCCCTCCCTTCCTTCTTTCCTTCCTTCCTTCCTTCCTTCCTCATTCTCTTTTCTTCCTTTCTCCTTCCTTCCTTCCGTCCTTCATTCCTTCCTTTCCTTCCTTCTTTCTTTCTCTTTCTTCTTTCTTTTCTTTCCCTCCCTCCCTCCCTCTCTTTCTTTCTTTCTTTCTTTCTTTTCTTTCTTCTTTCTCTCTCTCTCTTTCTCTCTTTTCTCTTTTTCTTTCTCTCTCTCTCTCTTTCTTTTGTAGACACAGGGTCTTGCTGTCTTGCCCAAAATGGCCTTAGAACTCCTGGACTCAAGCAATCCTCTTGTCTCAGCTTCCCAAAGTTCTGAGATTACAGGTGTGAGCCACCATGCCTACCTAGATTCTGCATTTTTGACAAGCTCCCGAGTGATGCTGATGCTGCTAGACCTTGGACCACACTTTGAATAGTAAGCACCTAACCTGCACACAAACCCATACACACTGTCGTACATCTCACCAGCACTAAACCTTCCTAAAAAATTATAGTGGTAAGCAGGCCAGGTGCGGTGGCTCATGCTTGTAATCCCAGCACTTTGGGAGACTGAGGCAGGCGGATCACTTGAGGTCAGGAGTTTGAGATCAGTCTGGCCAAGATGGTGAAACTCCATCTCTACTGAAAATACAAAAATCAGCCAGGTGTGGCAGTGTGTGCCTGTAATGCCAGCTACTCAGGAGCGTGAGGTGGGAGAATCACTTGAACCTGGGATGCGGAGGTTGCAGTGAGCCAAGATTGTGCCACTGTACTCCAGCCTGGGTGATAGAGTGAGACTCCATCTCAAAGAAAAAAAAAGTAGGCAAGGAACTTCATTGGTGATATTCTTCACAAACCCTCAACAGTTTCCTGCACCTGCAACTCCTCAGGTACTATAGTCATGTTTTCTTGTATTCCAGTGTCCAGAATTTATTCCTTCTGGTGGGTTCTTGGTCTCGCTGACTTCAAGAACGAAGCTGCGGACCCTTGCAGTGAGTGTTACAGTTCTTAGAGATGGTGTGTATGGAGTTTGTTCCTTCAGATGTCCAGATGTGTCCAGAGTTTCTTCCTTCCAGTGGGTTCGTGGTCTCGCTGACTTCAGGAGTGAAGCCGCAGACCTTTGCAGTGAGTGTTACAGCTCTTAAAGGTGGCGCGTCCAGAGTTGTTTGTTCCTCCTGGTGGGTTCGTGGTCTCGCTTACTTCAGAAATGAAGCTGCAGACACTTGCGGTGAGTGTTATAGCTCATAAAGGTAGTGTGGACCCAAAGAGTGAGCAGCAGTGAGTTTTGTTGTGAAGAGCGAAAGAACAAAACTTCCACCGCGTGGAAGGGGACCTGAGCGGGTTTCCGCTGCTGGCTTGGGTGGCCAGCTTTTATTCCCGTACTTGGCCCCCGCCCCCCACATCTTGCTGATTGGTCCATTTTAC